TGAATCCTATCCTAGTAAACATGATCAGATTTATCTCTTGATTAATTGTTCTTTTAATACCAATAATTCAGATAATATATATTATTTTGGACCAACGGATATATATAGATAGATATTTCATTCTTTCCATAGATAGATATTTCATGACAATGCCAAATGATAACAACTTTTGTTACTGAGTAAGAAAAAGTAGTATTTTATCAAATACAAAATACACTCACATCATTGTAAAATATAGCTAATAAATTTTAGAAATTTTCTATATAAAGCTTAAAACTAAGACCAAACCCAAAGACCTTCAAAAAAAAAAAAGGACCAAAAGTCCAAAACCAAATATAAAAAGGGATAAATAACACGTAATAAACTATTTACATGTTTGCCTCTCTTTAGGAAATAAATAATGAATTCTAATTATTATTATATTACCGGATAAAATGAACTTATTTTCAATTTATTCATATTTATATATTGCCAACTACCGCCAAGCACCTCTATGAAACCTCTGTTTTGATATGAACCTGTGAACTCCTATGTACCATTGAGATGTGTGATTGGACGACTGAGATTTGAGGAGTGGTGCAATGATGCTTTTGGTGTTGTTGTGCAGTAGTGGTGCAGTGATGTATTTACCGGGTCAAAAGATTATCATTTGAACCTAATTAATAATTATATATATATATATATATATATATATATATATATATATATATATATATATATATATATATATATATATATATATATATATACTCAATTACAATTGTCTTTGATTGGACTTATAAAAGATTTTATATAATAAAAGCTAAAAGATTTTATATAATAAAAGCTTTTATATAACTTAATAATATTGGGACTACTGCTAAAAATTCCTAAATTTGAAACAAAACTACAAAAATTTGTGGCTGATGAAGTGATAGGATGAACCACGTTGATGCTACCTAAGTAATTGAAAATGACTCAAAAATTGACAATCCGATGACCTAACAAAATGAACCATCTTTATCTATCCTATAAGGGTTTTTTTTTTTTTTTTTTTTTTTTTTTTTGATAAAAGCTATCTATCCCGTAAGGTAAAATGCTAACTACTCATAATTTTATCAATCATAAATCTACCACTTCATAATTTGGCAAAATTTTAGGCATTAGTTTTCTTTTTTTAATTTTAATTTTAATTTTAATTTTATTAATGTATATAATTTTGCATTTTTGCCTCATCATAGAAGGTTAATTGTGAATGATAAAATTAGAGATGTATTACATGGTCCATCCTGTAAGACTAATTGGTTCATTGCCAATAAATTTCATCATTGCGAGTTATTTGTTATTTTCATTGTACAAAAGGAAAGAAACAAGAAAATTTCTGTGGCCTAACTCTTTTTCGGGACCAAGATATTTTTTAATATAAAAACAATGAGTTATAATCACTTTTGTTCATATTGATGAGGTAATAAAAATGGGTCACACTTGTGTGAGACTGTCTCACAGATCCTGATTTGAAATAATAATTATACTGAAAAATATAATATCAACATTAATTATAAGAAAAAATGTAATATATTCGATAAAAATGTAATACTTTTACATGTTGATGTAAAAGTGATACATTTTTCCTTATAAGTAATGTTGACAAGTGTTTGTTACTTATAAGAGAAAATGTAATAATTTTGAGGAAAAAAATGTAATACTTTTAAATCAAAATGTAAAAGTATTACATTAATCTTCAAAAGTACTTGCTCATATATATAAGTGATAAACATTTTAATTTTTACTAGTATTACATTTTTCGACCCGTCTCACAGACAAGGATCCGTGAGACGGTCCCACACAAGATTTTGCCAAAAAAAATGCAAAGGGTCTAACCTAAGTTTGACTTGAATTACAAGATGCATTATTAATTAAGCTATATACATCCATGAAATATTCACTTACTTTCAAAAGTAAACTTTATTGTCATACCACTAAATTTATAATTAATCAATATTTAACATCCATCCATGCAATTATCACTCTCCACTTTCAAAAGTGGTCCATTTTCACATCATATAAAAAAAAATGTTATTCTATTAATAAAAATCATTTTCTATAATTAATCACTTTTATCAATATTTAAATAAATCTAAGATAATAATAATAATAATAATAATAATAATAATAATAATAATAATAATAATAATAATAATAATAATAATAATAATAATAATAATAATAATAATTTAAAGTCCACCAAATTATTTTACAAAATTTAAAATAAAATAACTTGTATTGCCCAAATTAAATATTCTTTTTTTTCTTAAATTAAAATTCCTTGCGTGAATTCAAATATATTCCTTATCTTGAATCAAGTGGCCTTATATATTTTTAGGCATGGATATATTAGAGTAAAATAAATACTATTTTCAAATTTATCAAAAAAAAAATAAAAATTTAAAATTATTTATTTAAATTGAATATGAAAATACAAAATATAAAATTAAGGTAAAATAAATATTATTGGAATTATATAATAATTTATTTTTCATTTATATTATTGACAATATACTAGTGGTGGTGGTGATAATAAACAAATTACAAACTTAAAAAAATAGTTTTGCAATTCTGACGGAGAATTTTACAATTTTGTATCTGTTATAATTTCATTACAAGTTAATTTACAATGTGTAGGACAAAATGTTTCTCTACGTTAAGAATTTAAATAAATATATATCTACACACACACGCACACATATTTAGGGCCTGATTTTGGTGTTTGCTTCTCATATGAGAACTGCGAACAATTTTGGTTTGTCCTTCTAAGAAGATCAAAGGTTGAAAATCAATGGAGGGGGAAAATATGGTGGCATTTGTAATTTAAATAATTATAATTGTTCATTTAGAAATGGTTGACATTGCATTTAGAAATTTTAATAGTGCACGGAAGGCATTACCTGGTTCTCATCACATGCATAATGCATTCATCCTTCGTGTCACTACAAGAATTTTGAAATGCACTTTCAATTTTCTGCAAATGACACTATCAAGAATTTCTAAATGCAGAATTGTAACTATAGAAAATTACAAAAATCAATAAAAAGTGGAAAAATTATGGTGACATTTTTGTAATTTTTGTAATTACGATTGTGCATTTAGAAATGATTTGCAGTGTATTTAGAAATGCTTTGAGTGCACGGAAGGCAGTACCTGATTCTCACAACCTTCCTCCTTCATTTCAACATAAGAGTTTTGAAATGCACTATTAAGCATTTTCAAATTTACAATCATAATTATAGAAAATTACAAAATTAACACCGTATTTTTTCCCCTTCTCATTGATTTCCAATCTTTGGTCATCCTTAGAGTGGGTGTGTGAGGTTTCTTGTGTAAACATGCTTTCATGTAAAAGTGATGACTAGTCTAATACATTCATTGGGTATATAATGGTTGGGTTTTAAAAAATAAATACAAAAGGGATGACGCCAATTTTATAGTATTGCTAAACATAAAAGTTTGTAACAATTATAAAATTGATCATGTATTTTTCCTACTAGATTGAACTCTCAACCATTAATAAATCATGATGGGTGACTCTGATTAGTCCTCAATTTTTATATGTCCAATATCATGTGCGAAGAGGCACTCAAGTAAAACATGAAGATAAAGCTAAGTCGTTGATATGTACGTATCAACATCTCTTTAAACAAATTATACACTTCTAATCTACCAAAATGTGTGCACTCGAAAGTACAAAAATGTACACTCGTAGACACAAAAATTAAATGTGCACTCAAAGATCAAAATTGTGCACTCGAAGACACGAAATTGTGCACTCTAAGGTTCGAAAATGTGCTTCAAATGACAAAATTATGCAATCAAAGGCACTAAAATGTGCACTCAATGGCCAAAATTGTGCACTCAAAGACACAAAATTGTGCATTCCAAAGTACAAAAATACGCACACGAAGTTTTTAAAAAAAAATGTTTTATGCACTCGAAGAGAATAAATTAAGCACTCAGACGGAAAAACTATGCACCCGAAGAGAATATATTATGCACTCGAAAAAAAACAAAATAATGCACCCAAAGACCAAAAAATGCACTTACAAAAAATTACCAAAATGTCACCCTTAAAAAAAAAAAAATCCTTCATTATGGGCGGTTGATCTCGACTAGAACAATGACTAAGATTTAACTATTTTTTTTTACCAGAGCAATTCTTTTACCATGGTTCGATATTGTGACCACACTAGGTTGTTGAATGATCGTTGGTTGCCTTCCCACGACACTCTCTGATCAACTCTAACAATGCTTCGAGGACTAACACCAGTGATGGGCGACTGTTGAACTGTCGTTGGTTGCCTTCTCAACTTGGAGAATTGAAGGCGAGCAACAGGTCGACTTCTACTAGAGAAGGTGGTCTATTGGTCACCTTCTTGAAAGGCGATCGACAACCGTTCAACAGTCGTCTGTTAGTCCCAGGAGTGTTGTTGGAATTGGCCAGAACCCTAGTGACTTGCTATTATAGGTCGCTAACTGATTTTTTTAGCTTCGGTGTACCAAAATAATATTTTGATAGACTTAATTACACATTTTAAAAGTCTAAAAGTTTAATTGACTTTTCGAATAAAGTTTAGGGTCTTACCATCTTCAAAAAAATAAAAATAAAAAATGAAAAGTAAAAAATGCAAACTATTGGAATGGTAACATTTGTGTAAATAGTTAAAATAAAATTACTATTTCATTCTAAAAAGAAATTATTACTTATTCTTATTTATAATAGTTAGCATTGCAAAATTATCCAATATTTATACACCTTTTATCATTTATTGCTGATAATAACCCAATGAATCCCATACATTGATAAGTGACCCTACTAGCAATTAATCTCAATCATTTCAACTGCTCACTTCCTCCCACTTTATTCATATCCATAAACCATAACCTCACAATTCTATCATTTTAAACCCCCACCCACCCCCTTGCTCTATCTCCCTCTGATCTATATATAGCAGGCACACAATCATATAACGTACACATCTCAGCTCTATACCTTTCATTTCACACTTACATTCATACCTATATATATATATATACTTATAGCCACCCACCACCCATAGGACACTAAGCAAGAATTGAAGCTCATCAGAAAATGTCCAAGAAATTGTTCCACTGGAGAAATGAGTCAGGAGAGCTTGATGTCTTTGAGGCTGCAAACTATTTTGCCGGTTCCAATGATCATCATCAAGTTTCTAATTGCCACAACAATAATAATGGTCCCACTTTCTCCCACAAGCTTCTTAGACAGGGCTGCAACAATCAAGCCTGGAGAAGTAGTGGAAGAATGAGCCTAGACATGCCTCCTGTCCCAGCCATCAAACTTTCCTCCACCCCATTTGGTACATTATTATATTTCATAATTATATATAAACCTCACAATCCGAGACATATTCTGTTAGGATCGAACGCTTACCACTACGCCAAAAGCACACATGTCAGCCTTAATTGCTTATTCCTTATATCCCCATACATTTTTGAAAGTCAGGATGTTGGACTTGGCCCTTTATCGGCCTCTGCCCAATAATCCCCTCCCAGCACCAGCCAGTTCCTGTGACACTAATGGAAATTATGGAATTTCCGACCACCTAAAAGTGATCTTAAATCAAGTCGAAAGTCTTGTTCCGACCACTTTTGATATTCGGAAAAACCTTTGTTGCTATTTCCGATCACTTTTTGGTATTAACTTGATTTAAGATCACTTTCAGGTGGTCAAAAATTCCATAATTTTCAGTAGTGTGATCTGGCTCTGATACTACTTGTTAGGATCAGGTATTTACCACTAAGCCAAAATCTATAGTTAGTAGCGAAGGCGCAACTTTATTTTCTTATACCGTCACACATTTTCGAGAGTCAGGGTGCTGGACTTGGCCATTTACCTGTCTCCGTTCAATAACCTCGTTAGTCAAATGGTGCTGGACTTGGCTCTTACCTGTTTCCACCAAACAAATATTGGCGATTTCGTCTTTTGTCCTGTCACATCAGATGAGACAGCACAAATGACAGGAACATGAAGCATGTTCCCATGCACAAAAAAGTTTTCCATTTAAGTAGCTTAGTTTTGCCTACTAATTCATATAATCTTTGTTTTACTTGTAAAGGGTATGGATTATTTAACTTAATTAAACAAATAATGTTGCCAAACAGGCACATCATCACAAATGGAAAAGCCTGCAGTATCAGCCATGAAAGGCAAAATTCCAAGCTCTCCAGGAGGGAAGCTAGCCAGCTTCTTGAACTCCCTCTTCAACCAAAAAACTAGCTCTAAGAAGAAGAAGAAACAGAAATTGAACTCGAACGATAATGAAGATTCTCAAACCCCATCTGGGTGGATTAGGAGGAGGAGAAGCAGCTTAAGTGAACTCTATGCAAAGAGAAGCTCATCAAACACTACTGTTTCTGCATCTTCAAATTCTGGGTTTAGAACACCCCCTCCATATCCCAAGAACTCATCATGCAAGGATAATCACAACCCAGAAAGCATGTTTAAGTTCATCAGCAGTGGGATTAGTTCAGAGAGGAGGACGATGATGATGACGAGCGTTCATCACTGGGCAGATGAATATCCATCAGAAGAGCATGAAGAAAGAAAGTTTGAGGATGATTATGATCAGGGGACAGATAGTGATTCCAGCTCTGATCTGTTTGATTTGCCAAACAGAGAATTATTGGATTGCTATTCAACTGGTTTGCCTGTTTATCAGACTACCCAGATGAATGCTATCAACAGTAGTAATGCACCCATTTCTGCCACCGTCATTTGATTTGATTTGATTTGATTTTGTTCGTTCTGAGATTTAAATTTTTTCTACTTAATTAGATAACCCCAAATTTTATGTACTAGTATTGATGTACATAGGGTAAAACGTTTTTATCTTCAAACATATTCTGATCTCGTTAATCAAGTTGATTGCATTGGTCAATCTCTGAATTAGTGAATTACAATTGAGTATTGTTAATTAGAGATCAGAGGATAATTAAAAATTTTAAAAATTTTAAATGGCAGGTCACACATTCAATCTAATTTCAAACGTAAGGAGATTTAGAGTGGTCAAAATGGGCAACGGGTTGGCCTGCCCCGCCTCCTACCAAGGTAGGAGGTGAGTTTTGGTTTTGGAGGTCCACCTCGTTTGACCCACGGGCCTAAGCGGGTCTAGCCCGCCTATATTTTTAAAATTTTAATTTTTATACATATAGTAAATGTTTTGATAGTAATATATTATTATGTATAATAGTTATGAGTGTTTTGGTAGCTTAGATAGTAATGAGTATCTTATTATTGTGGGAGGTATATATAGGGATTGAATTTTATCAACATATATTCCCTATATTTTTGCCAAAAAAATGCATAATATATTATTATGTATAATAATTATTGAATATTGGGATAGTTTGGGTTGTTATAAATATTGAATTGTTCTTGGAGGTCTAGAGATTGAAACTTATCAATATCTTTTTCAAAAAAAAAAAAAAAAAACGCAGAGGCTTGCGGGCTTAGGCCCGTATTGAAAGTGGCATTTGTCTTGTTTGATGATCAAACTGAACTACTTAAGTTTTCGATGTCTTTATAGCTCTGATAGAGCTTATATATTATTTTAAGTTGCAAATAAGCTATAAGTTGTGTTTGGTAAAACATGGAGCTTAAAATAATAGTTTATTTTGAAACACTATTCCAAGTAGCATTTCAAAATAAGTTTTTGACTTTTTAATTTTTTTCCTTTTTCATATTTATTAATTTATAAAAATGACATCATCTACCCTCTATTAAAAAAATCATAATATCTTAGTTTATCTTTTTATGTCTTTCTACATTTATCAGCTAATTTAACAATTAATTTTACCAGATACTTTAATTTTAATTAATTAACTTATTAACTACTAACTTTTTAGCTAGACGTGTCAAAAGGAGCGCTATGATTTTTTTCCTTGTTGGTGAGTGGGATTCAAGAAAGAAATTGCTATTTTGTATTAAATTTTGAAAAACAAATCACACGTTGCTCCTTAAGTTATAAGAAACATGTAATTTAGTCATTAATTTTCATAAATTACAAATGTGACCCATAAGTGAAACTTTTAGAAGTGCCTACTATTTTGGTCTTTCAATAGAACTAAATAACTACTTTCTTGCTCCACGGTGCTTAGCGTAGTTAGTTCGTCACTTAACTTAAAGGTCATGATGACTGGAGGTAGCAGTGAAAAATATATATGGAAAAAAGGCCCAAGTTAAGGATGATGGAATGCCTGGATTGGATCCCTTGTGCTGACTAGGATATGACCGATGAGTTGATTGCGTGACTTGCGATTTACCTCTACAGTGACTCTAGAGGCCGGCGGAGTCCTGTAAGCTTAGGATTAATCCGTTAAAACTTGGATCACCTAAGTATTAAAAATCAAAACTACTTTTCTGGTTAATTAAGTGGTACTTTTGGACTTCAAAAAAAAAGTGGTACTTTTAATTTGCAACTTATTACAATTATAAACTAAATTTATATTAGGAATAAGGTTCAAATTGGCCACTGAACGTAACCTAAAAATGCAATTAGACCACTGAACGAAAAAAAAAAAGTGCAATTAGGCCACTGAACACTCCAAAAATGTGCAATTTCACCTGATAGCAGGTTACCCTCAATTTTAGCAGGTTACCTGCTTACGTGGCAGCTGAGTTGACATTTTTAATAAATTTAAATAATTTTAAATAAATTTTAATAATAAATTTTTATAAAAAAAATTTAAAAAATAAAAACGACTTTATTTAATTTTTTTTCAATTTTTTAAAAAATTTTATTATTAAAATTAATTATTAAAAATTATTTAAAAATTATTAAAAATGTCAACTCAGCTGCCACATAAGCAGGTAAGCTGCTAAAATTGATGGTAACCTGCTATCCGGTGAAATTGCATACGTTTGGAGAGTTCAGTGACCTAATTACACGTTTTTGAAGTGTTCAGTGGCCTAATTGCACTTTTTTTTCGTTCAGTGGCCTAATTGCATTTTCAGGTTACGTTCAGTGGCCAATTTGAACCGTATTCCTTTATATTATTTACCCTATAACTAATTAGTTAGGGACCAAAAGTGTAATTTTTGTTAACCACACAATAAAGGTACATCGCACTAAAAAGACCATGTGCGGTGAGCTCAATTAAAAAAATATTGACAAAAATTAAACTCAAAATATTTTGATACAAGAATCATACTCCACCTATTTAACTAGCCACCCCTTTCGAGATATAGCATATTTTCAATACTGTATGTACAGGATAATGCTTTTTTGTCTTGACATTTTTACCTTTTCTAAATCTTAGATTCCTTATAGATGCCAGTTCCTAACACTAATAAAGTTATTGTAGATCAAATGGCTTGTGGTCCACTGGTATCCGGTTGTTCCCTTATGTGGGAGGTCTCGATTTTGCGCCTCAATGTAGGCGTAGATTGTATGGGTATCCCCTTCCTTTGTAATAAAAAAATAAAGTTGTTGTAGAGTTAATCTTCAACTCTGGTCTATCAATTTTTGCATTTTAAAATTTTTTTTTATCATCATGTTTAAATATAAATATTAAATATAATATATTATATAAATGCATATATTTAAATAAATAAATTATATGTGTGTGTGTGTGTAACAGCTATATTTTTAATTTTAATTTATTTTTCTTTTGCATTTTTTGGAGTGGTCCTTGTGTTTGGAACTTTTCTATTCCTACTTGTATTGAGTATTTTCTCTCTTGTTAATTAATTTTAGCTTTCATTTGGCTTGTTCAAAAAAAAAAAAAAAAGTCATTTAATTAATTCATGATAAAAATTAATTAAGTCATGAATAGTTAATATAATGAATGTTAAAACTTAAAAGGACTACTCAAATTATTAAAGGCTGTGAAACCAAATCAGCATGTGCAGATAACGTTTTCTTAATTTATATAACTTTGACCAAGGACTTTGTTAAATGTATTTTATCAAATACTTCACCAAATGGTGATGAAATTTTTGATTAATCATTTTAGAATAAGTGTGATGAGAGATTTTCAATTTGAAAAAAAAAAAAAAAAAAAAAAAAGTCTAACTAGATATTTTTGTCTTTTTCTTCTTAGGCCCAAGTATAATTTAATTGGTTAAGTTTTTATCGGGCTTAGTGTTTCCTTGGATCCAATAATAATTGCATATCTTAAAGCTTGAGAAGTCCAATGGGAAGTAGTATGAATGTAGGCAAATTATGTGTGAACAATAGTTTACATAGCTGTGTAGCTTGTATAGATCATGAATATAATATACATTTTTAATATATTAAAAGTATATTATTTGTGTGCTAAATGTATATTATTTGATTATATATATATATATATATATATATATATATATATATATATATAATTATGTACTTTTAAATAATATACTGTACAAATAGTGTACTTTTAGTATGTTAAAAATATACTTTTTACTTATGGTTAAATAAATGGATGGACCATGGTCCATAAAATATTGACTGATGAATGTATGATCACACTATATGCTTGAACCCTAGGCCCTAGTAGTGCAGAAACTAGAAAGGGGGGAAAGAGGGATATCTCACTTGTCCTTGACATAGCAAGAGGAAACCGGCAAAAGAGGTCTTTTTTTGTGTGCTCAACATACAAGATTTTTTGAGGTGACGGTAAAGGTCAGTGATTAAAGGAATTTCAATGTTTAAAAGCTTATTAAGGTAAGAAAACTTAGTAGTTGCTTAATGTTTTACTTAATTTTAAATGTTAATTAACTTATCTGTAATTAAGTTTGATTTTCATAAAATGAAAAACACAAAATAAACAACTAAGTATAGAAAATAGAATCAGGTCAGGACACAGCAATTGGTCATGTACTTCAGAGCTAAAACTCCTACGTCTGCAGGGCAACTCACGTCAGCCATATCTATTTAATGTCCACCAAAATTACAAGGGTTTACATGACATAATCACACACAAAAGGCCATAGCCAATTACACCAACATAATCTTTAATACATCTATGTTAGGAGAGGGCACATGCATGCCAAGATTAACTTCTAACTTCACCACATCAACCACGGTTCTTGAGATATCTTTATAGAGATTTTATCAACCTAATATAAAAATAACCAGCTCAATATAAATATATAATAGATTAATCCTCCGATTTAGTGCTCTTCAAGTTGTGAATATGAAACCCAAAATCTTCACTTTATATACTTAAATTAGTATAACTAACTTGACTAAATATATACTGCCAAATTCCCATAATTTAATAAGCTTCACACATTTAAAATCCAAAAACTTATTCAAATCAACTGAATTTTGTTAGAGAAATTCGTTGTACGCGCTGACATTGATCCAAAAGAAAGCAGAAATTAACCCAGGCTGCAATACGGTCCAAACTAGTCTAAACAAATATAATCTAAGTTTTAACAAATAATTTAGCCAATTAAATTAAGGTATGTAAAATTTGTATCATTTATACACTTACAATTTAATCATTATAATCTATATACCATATCATAAGTGACTACAAATTATTGAAGCTACTCTTGAATATAGGCACATTTTGTATGATAAAGTATTACTAAATTATTTCTAATGAAATTTTGAAAATTTGATATATATTTTAAGGTATTAATCATATTGATGGTCTAACTCTCATCCATCCTTAACCAAAGGTCAAGGGTTTTATCTTTAGCTTTGGGTATGGAGCAGTCTTAAATCTCCATGCCAGTTGTCCCACCTAAAAGAGGTGCCTACAATCCAGCGAGGAATTACTGGATTAGTCACTGTGTCCGACGGTGAAAACGCTG